CTTTATAATTTTAGGACCTTCTATCAATGAAATGGTCTATCTCCTTCATTTTTTTAGGTATGTAAAAAAAATTTCTACATAAAGGCCTTGCATATTTTTATTGCTATAATAAACAATCTTTTAAAAATTGCATTTAAAAAATAGTATATCATATTTAATTTTTTTCATTGCAGTAAGATATCATAATATTTATCATTTTAACTATTTGTGAGTATACAATTCAGTGGCATTAAACACATACACTATGTTGTGTACCCATCACCACTACCTATACCCAAAAGTTTCTCACTGTCTCATCCACTGGGGCTGCTATAGCAACGTCGCATAGACTGGGTGACTTATAAACAACAGAAATTTATTCTTCACAGTCCTGGCGGCTGGAAGTCTGAGAACACGGTGCCATCAGGGTCCAGCTGCAGAGGGCTATCTTCCTGTTGGGTCCTCACGTGGCGGAAAAAGGGTGAGCGAGCTCTCTGGCCTCCTCTTCTAAGGGCATGAATCTCATTCACGAGGGCTCCATCCAATGACCTCATCATCTCCCAAAGGCCCCGCCTCCTAATACCATTACCTTGGGGGTTAGGATTTCAACACATGAATTTTGGGGGAAACAAACATTCAGTCCACTGCATCCACCATCCCCAACATAAACTCCATCCCCATTAAACACTGACTTCCCATCTCCCCTCCTCTATCCCCTGGTAACCACCACTCTACTTTCTCTCTGCATTTGCCTACTCTAGGTACCTCTTATAAATGGAATCATACAATGTTTACTCGTCCTGTATCTGGCTTATTTCTCTAAGTATCAATCATGTTTTCAAGGTTCATCCATGAATCAAAATTTCACTTGTTTTTATGGCTGACTAGTATCCTTTTTATTTTTTTGAGACAGGATCTCACTCTGTTGCCCAGCTAGAGTGCAGTGGCATCATCACAGCTCACTGCAACCTCAAACTCCTGGGCTCAAGTGATCCTCCTGCCTCAGCCTTCCAAGTAGCTGGGACTACAGGAGCATGCCACCATGCACAGCCAATTTTTCTATTTTTAGTAGAGACAGGGTCTTGCTATGTTGCTCATACTGGTCTTGAACTCCTGGCTATGAGTGATCCTCCCTCCTTGGCCTTCCAAAGTGCTAGGGTTACAGGCGTGAGCCACCACGTCTAGCCTAAAAAATGTATCTTTTGTTGTTGTTTTCCACACTGATTTTGTTGAAGTCAGCCCGTCTTTTCTGGAAGAGGCATCCAAGGCCATCAGCTTTCACAGCCATCCCTCCATGCACTTGAATAAATACTTGGTCTCACTAAGAGCACTAACACACGACAGGAGCTAACATTTGTTAAACAATTAGTAGGAACCAGCACTGTGCTTAGGACTTCACACGCTGAGTCTCTGAATTCTTGGCAAGCCTATGGGTTAAGCACTGTCAGCATCCCCATTTCATATTTGATGAAACTGAGGTAAAGGTCCCACAGCTTCAGAGCGAGGGTCAAGGCCACAAGTTGTGACTCCAGAGCTGTGCTCTGCACCACCTTCCTACAAACCAAACATCAGTTAAACTACATTTTTATCTCTCCCAATGAACTGGCAAGGATTAAGAACCCACCTACCCACTGCTGGAGAGGCGGAGGCGGCCCTGCATCCGTGCACTCTGCAGGCATCTATGTGGGCACACCTGGAGGCAGGTCTTTGGCAATTTGTCATTGTGCATCTGGGGGTCCATCCTATCAGCCTGAAATGGAGAAAAGATATTTATCACAGCATTATTTACAGTAACCTAAACTGGAAACAGTCTATGTACCCGTGTTAGCAAACGGTTATGTCAACTCTGGCTTTTCTATTCAATGGATCCCCACACAGTCATTAAAAGTAATGCTTCCCGATGGTAGTAACAGGGAAAAATTCTAATACTATAATAAGTAAAAATAAACCAGGGCATGTGAGTGTCCTCGGCTGTCCACAGCCACCACCCTCCCTGGCACATCGAGATAAACAGCAGAGGACACCTGCTCTGAACAGCTCCTGCCCCCAGTTTCATTCCATGACCTGCATCCAGGTTTCTTGACTTCCTAAGCCAGCTCTTCCCTGTAACGTTTAATTCTGAAGGTCTTTCAGATGTATAGAAAGCTCGCAAGGATAGGGAGTGAACTCTCACATACCTTTCATCTAGAATAGGGATTGGCAAACGGGTCAAGTGTGGCCCGCTGCCTATTTTTTTTTTTTTTTTTTT